TGCCTCTACTGTGCCGGATATTCGACAGTGCCATTGAGTGGCTTACTGCCGCTGCAATGAGGCACTGACATGGAACGCTTTTTCAAGAGACATAACATTATAATGGTGCAGTGCAGGTGAATGCAACAAGCATTTAGCACCTTGCTTTTATTGAGCTCCTGATATTTGACCATTAGGTTCTAGGTCCATAGCTGGAACATATGACGCACGTCATGTGTTCGTATGCTGTACGTCCAGATGCCCATCACAGGTCAGCGGAGAAAACTTCAGGCGGTTTAGTATGCATGCTGCCCAAATACTGCTAAGAGAACCAGTGAGCTTGAAATCGATTGTTGATCTGAATCAATCCGAAATCAGAATAGCTCTAAACACTTAAGATCGATATGCAAAGAAATAATCGCAGCGCCCGAAATTCGAAATATAAGCTAATTCTGTTTATCCCTGTTCGCTGCGTAGATATTGACCCACGGCCCATGCAACCCAGACCATTGAATAGTTTATCCAGTGAAGGATTTCTATTTAGTGGCTCTGGAATGGGGAACCAAGTGTTGTAGACGCGGATTCCAATTGCTAGAAATCTAAGCTTTGGGCATCACGGAAAACTTTGAGATTTCATTTTAGACACCGCAGCTATAGAAACAAGGCATAGATGTGATCATAAATAGCATAATAATTCTCAACTCAAGTAATGCAGGTCGTATTATCAAACGTAGTGTAGAACTACTAGCAAAGCGGTGGAGATTGATTTTTCTTGGATAGATTAAGCCCTATGAGAGCTCTTTCTCCAACACTGGTATTGCCCCAGTATGTCGTGAGATAGTGCATGGGGTTTGCTTCATGCCATTTATGGTTATACTATGGCCGATAACCAAACATGTTGTCGCCGTTCCCTTTACACGCCACGTCTTAGGCTCAAACCAGACCGATGTGCTCACCAGCCCTAAGCTCGCTACACCTGCCACTCATGCAGTAAGATCTACGCCCTGACCACCGAGGCTTTGGGCATGGCCAGCAACGGATACTTTAGTGCAAATGAACCTTCCGAAGCGCAAAATACTGATGATGTTTATGACTCATTATACTTCACTTACAATGGTTGGTGTGGTTTATCGTAGCTATAATTATGCTACGACGATTTGTGATAGATTTTGGCTGCAGGCTACAGTTAAGGCTGTTGCGAATTTCGTTGGTGACAGGAAATAACCTTTTCATCCTTTATCATTTCATCAAATCATCTGTCGTAGGATTTTTAAGCATGTACTTTCCTATTGGATGCTGTCAAGGTTATGTTAACAAACTTCACCATAGCAAATTTTAATTGCATGCTGAGCGTGCCGAATGTGCTGTTTGGTCATGATTCATTCATTAGTCCTTCCCCTGATCCGACGTCTTTCATAATGTGGACCGATGAGGAAGGAAACGGTTAAGTGAACTTCTCCAGTTTCGCAAGTGAGAACGACAGAACCTCGCAAAATCCTGTAGATTGCTCTGACAGAAGTTTAACAGTACATTGCATGCAGGGGGGCCAATAATTTACCTCACCAGGCCAGGTCAAAAGTGAGATTTTTGTGATAAGCGCAGTGCTATTTTGTTAATTTGATTATTTGCAGTGCCCGTAATCCGAAATAACAAACCAGCCTCGCTAAGGACGGTTCTTTTCACGGACATTGACCCACCACCAATGTAAACCAGATCACCAGATAAATTATCCAGAGTAGGATTTCTGGCTGGTTGTTCTAGGTTGGGGAATAAATGTTTTTCAGGTGCGGATGGTAAATGATAGAAATTGGACTTCTGTTAACTATGGAATGCTATGATTTAAATTTCAAACACTGCAGTCTTAAATACAGACCATAGTCACAATACGAAACAGCAGAGCAATTCTCGACTTCGAAAATTTGCATGTTAAATCAGGAAACGTGGGCAATATGATAGTAAAGACGTGGCAATATTTTTTGGGGGGATCGATCTAACCGATGAGAATTCTTCATCCACCACTGGTAGTGCCCCAGTGTGTCGTAGGGTGGAGCATGAAGTTTGCCACGTGACAATTGTGATACTTATTTTATTATTTATTCACTTTTTAAGCTGCTAAGATGACATGCTTGTGCGGAGCCTTAATCATTATGCGGAATTAATTTTGATTCAAGCCCAACAGAAAAGAACTGTATGTTTTAAAATTATTTCACATTGTGCTACATAAAGATTACAGGCAGAGTAAAAAACCGACATTCTTCGAACAAGTAGGGACTTGCAACCTACCCGATAAGCCCGGTTGGTTGCAAACCCAGAAGGGAGTTTGCAACTTCAATAGAGAATTTGCGAACTCCCCAGAGAATTCGAGAAATCTCTGGATGGTTAGGTTGCGGCCATGTTAATAACAATAATATATTGTTATCATAAATAAGTGAATAACATCAAATAGAAATTGATTGCACGCCTTGCACCTGCGTTGTGGAACGCGTTTGTGAGTGCGGTAGTCAATGAGTGGCAGCGGCCATTGAAAAGCGCAACACATAAGCCTAGGTTTACGCGGCGATTTGTTTTTGGGAGCCATGGCAGGTGCTGCATATCCGGATCTAACCAGTTCGAAGGAAGCTTGTGTTACGCTTCCTGTCGCCGCAGGGTCATGAAGCGTCACCGGGCGCCCCAATTTAGGCCGGCTTTGTTTTGTCCGTTGTTGGATACGAACAAATCCGTGACGTCATCATTCTGATATTCGGCAGATGGCCCAAAAATAGTGAAATGCTTGGGACTGGAGCGATTGTTCGTCGTCATGTTTATTATGCGTCGTATCATGTCCCAGCCAAACCGACAGTGTGATAGCTGTGTCGGACTGAGGCCGGAATGAATGATCACAATGCCGAACCAGGCCGTGACATGGGATCATTTCCGAGGGCATGGCAGGGCACCGAACTTAAAATCCCGAGAAAAGTTATTAGAAATGTGTTACAGGTCATTGTATCGCAGCATATTTTGGCGTAAATTATATTCAATGGTCTACTGCAGTTTTTCATTGTCGGCAGTTTATAATTGTCATTGCCATTATTTTCCATCATAGCATGCATGCATATTCATATAATGTCGGATAGAATTATAAGCCGGGCATTTACCTTCAGTACCGCTCTTTGAATGTTCCACGGCTTATAGCCATTCAAGTAGCATGAAAAATGTAGGCCTCCTTTGGAAGTACCCTCAATATTCCTTAAGCTGCTTAGGCAGTCTGCAAACTTCCAGTTGTGTTTGCAAAGTCCTTTTTTGTTTCTTTTTTCTTAGTTTAGTTTTTTTCTTAGTTTTCTTAGTTTACCGCCCTGTATATGGGGACAAATCCATACATCTGTACATAAACACCCTTCAAATGCGTCGCAATAACCGCAATAGAACGCCCGGATTCGTAAACCAAGTACAGGTCCTTACATGGTGCGTGATGTTACCACCAGTCGTGTTTCATCCCACAACTATCCCAAGCCATTTGCAATACCGCAATACCGTAATACAGAAGAACCGTTCGCAATACTGCGTAATACTACCACAAGCAATGAATTCACAATACTAATAAAGCTACTGTTTGCTTATTAACAAGGATAGCAGAAAATATTTCGTCCAAGACTCTTGGCCACCCAAACATCATTCACAATTGCCGTTACCACAAACGATCGTAAGATATTGATAAATGCCGCGGAAAAAACTTTGCTAGAAAAATTGAGGGAATCACGTCCAGGGTATCTACCCTTATTTTACATAGCCTGCTAGCTGCAAGTTTTATTTCTATGGAATATTTGCTTGACGTCATATGTTAAACTAGCATTTTTACGCAAACCTGTACACAGATACAGACATTGAAGGAAATGAAAAAGCAAGTATACAAATCTTACTGAATATCGTTTAAAACTTATGGCAATCGCTGTAAGAGAAAATGTAACGAACCTCTGTTATCCCGGTGAATATTGCATATTACTTAAGTACGAAGGTACAAAATATGCGTTTCCATTTAGTTTTACTCGTATTTCGAATACTGTTGCATATTTCACCCAGCAGGAACTGTGGGCTATGTTGATAGGTGAGCAAGGCTGGATCAATATAAGCACAAACTTAATGGGCACTTCATACTCGCAATAGTAGCCTAGGGCGGCATTTAGCTTTGCTGATGCAAAAATTCACGTAACTACTTGATGAAATCGGCTCAAGCTTTGAATTTTTGGGGCTTTATACATGAGTTTTGCATTGAGACGTTCGCCTACAGTTTTCAATTTGTGCAACCTGATTAACGCGTGTGTGTCATGTCTGCAATGGGTTTTCTTCCACTGGGGTTCTTGCTAAAAATCAAACTAAGAATTGTCATAATTGCAAGGCCTTTGCAAGACGCTCACATTTTAGGATGGTTTTAAATTTTAGCGACAGCAAAAAAAAGGGACTGGGGTTCTTGCCACGGAGATCAAACTCATATTTCATATTTTGTCATATTTCAAAATTGCACGTCTTTGGCAAGATACTCATATTTTGGGGTGTCTTTAAAATTTAAGCAATAGCAAAAGACGCACTATTTTGTTAGGTATAATTTTTAACCCATCATGCCCATCACGTCTGGCCAACATCATTTTAACCCTAAATCCCATCACGTCTGTTCTTTGTTCAGAGCCGGCGGGTTCTTGCGTGTCAGACGTTGGCGGGTTGGTGGGTTCACAACTTGCGTCTCTAGTTGCAATTAACCGTGCACGCCGTAGCAAAATCAGAGTTGACTTTATCTATTCCACTTTGCATAACGCGTCTCAATAAGAGTTCACGCCGTTGGGGTTGATTTGAGTTGACCCTGTCTGACTTTGTTGACTCTGTTGACTCTTAAGCAATACACTAGTCTGATGGAACGCAGTCCGTGCGAAGAAGTGATGTCAGATGTCTGCCTCTTCTTGACCACGGCAGTCGCTGATGCGGAAAGAGACGGAGTGCGGGTGCCGGTGCTTCAAGAAAAATAACGATCTATCTAGGACAATAACAACGAATTTCACATGGAAGGCTGATGTATTGCAACAAATAATGTAAGCAGTTTAACAAAGTAACAGGCTGCGTAGCCATGGAGTACACCGGCACCGACCACGCAGAGGCAACAATAACAACGCATACATACTCAGCAGCCTGCATTATAAGACGATAATGTCAATTGCACACTGTCGGGGCAAAGCAGCATAGAGCCTGTTTACGTAGACATCAGCTAGCACAAGGGAGCGAAGTTGACCCCACCAATCGTGCACGCAACGCTGAGACTGACGCTGACGCCAAACGTAGTGACAGTGCTGACGGAGGTGATGATGGTCGTGAATGTCGACCACGACGTAAGTAGCCGGTTCTCCCTGCAAGCAAACGAGGTCCGCCATTAGTGACAGGCACGCCTCCAACAGCACAGGTCTCTCGACCACATCGCTGTCTTCACACAATAATAATGAAATTGATCATGAGGATCCTTTCCACTCTCTGGGACCAATTGTAATTGTAATGGCCTTTCCTCAACCAACATGCCTGTCTTCGCAATCCATGGATCGTCTTTACCCTCGCACTGGGGGGGGGGGGGGGGGGGGGGGGGTCGATGTGCCTACTCCAAAGGTTTTTATAACAGATCTCCGGGAAGTCGTGCAATCGCACCCAAGCTTCCAGCTGCATTTGGGGAATAAATTTCATGCGATCTGACGCAGAAATATGTCACTAGGATTTCTGGTTTTGGAGAAGCGCTTTTTTAGGAACACTGCACGACGATCTATGACCCGTGGAAGCGGCGGGCGGCAACCAACTACGCCGCGGGGCGTGCGGGGCGGGTCGGCACGGCTACATTAACGAAGCCATGCGCTATGAAGACTTGATCAAAACAAATAGTCATGTACCATTGTGCTGAGAATAGAGCAAGGAATACGCTTGTCTGGGCGTATTCGCTACCAGGCATGATCTCGTATGTGTGAGGCTGTAAAATTCAAAAAGTGCGATTTTCGGGAAAACGTGACTTTTGACCTGGCATCATGGCGTCAGTTGATCTGGCAGCATGAGACTTATCACGGACCGCGAGGTGAAATTGATACCAACCCACTGGTATTTTCTGCTAACCTCTATATTTCTTACTTTGGAAACAACACGGAAGGGTCACATCGACCCCCATCAGTCGGCGTTATGAAATACGCCGCGAATCAGAGCGAGAGCCACAGACAGGAGAGTCCACGCAGTCTGATTAACAGGCGTCATTGATGAATTATTCCCATTGATGTGGGTGTTGTTTCAGTTCATTTGGGTCCTAACGAGATCGTCAGGGCTACTTCAGGGCACAGTGGAGAGTCCCACGTGACAGCGCAGTGGCCGTCTTTTTACATTCGTGGTCCTTTTGACTGAAGGACAGCAGGCTAATGTACCGCAGGCCTTTCTATCTGTTAAACAACAGCTATGCTTCATGCACTTGTTGCCCATTTCTTTTGACTTCAGTAGACCTCAGGGCCTGTTTAGCTCACAAGGACACCTGTGAGATTATTAGTGCTTGTTTACACCGGCACGCTGATGTCAGTAATAACTCGCGTTCTCCCTGTAAGCTCGGGGCCATTTTATACACTTTCTGAATGTTTGAATGGTCGAATGTTGCTTTAGTGCCTAAGTTTTGGCAAAGTGGTGTGTCCGAAGGGAACCCAACATTGTCAGAATTAACTCGGATTTTTGCATCTAGATGTGCTTGAATCCGATCAGGAGTCACATAGACCTCTTTTTCCTCCAATGATGCGTCCTTGTTTGGTAACAACGCTTAAGATAGGGCTTAAGTTGGAAAATCCGCATCTAACATTGTGGGGCCTCATTGTTCTGCTGGGTGGCAATGATCCAATCAGGGGCACACCTAAGCACTTACTGATCAGGAGCGTTATCTGTGCCCTCCGCTTCCGTTCTAATCGACGACTGGACTTCCGGAGTCAGCCCTGAGAGAGCTGGTCTGTAAAAAGGAGGCCGCGGCTTTTGTGAATGTTCCGATCGCCTTTCAGCTTGCCACGTTCAATGCACAGCGTTCGGGCATGCAGACATTGCGAGATGCGTTCGCGAATCTTAGCCGGTCAGTGCCTAGCTAGAGGCTAACGTAGTCTGCTTAGCCTGGCCACTGGGCAACAAATAATATGCGAAAACGACCAGTGCGTCGTCAAAACAAACTGCGTCATTAAAACGCGACGAATAATACAAAAAGTGACTTTGAAGACAGGGCGTAATGATACCGTCTATCTAAGTAAAAGACACTGCAACACGGCAAGATTCAAGGCTAAAAAGCAAGCGTGGTGTGAGAACGGCACGCGTTGCAGCCTTAAGACACTCACAGGTCGTGTCCGGTTGTTGCTACAGCAGTTCTCTTCTTTCGCCTCTTCCTCCTTCCGGTGCACGTAGTAGCGGTGTCTACCGCTGAAAACCAGGAAAGCAAATGAAGCTTCCAGCCACATGAGCCCTCCACTTTGCCTCGACCCTATGCTGTATTTACATAAGCGTCTTCAGCCCGAGCTCCGCCAGCAGTTCGAACCAGGCACTGTGAAACCAGAGGACAGGACCAAGCGCTGGCGCCCTGAGGCTGACTCCGATGACGTCAGCGCTGGTGCCCTCCACCCTAGCCGCATCACTCAAGTTTGGGTCTGAGGTCTTTGAATAAAAGAATGGATCCGATTTCATCCATTCCACGGCACATGTTTCCATTTCTGTGTCCTAGGAGCCCATGCGTTTCCCTGCATATTCTTCCAGTTCTGTGTCGTAAGAGTCCATCCATTCCACAGCACATGTTTCCAGTTCTGTGTCCTGGGGGTCCATGCGTTCCACGGCATCTGAGTACACGTGTAAGTCCAAGTTGGATGCGTTAATTATAACTTTCAGGATTGAGATCGGTCCCGATCCCGGCGTTCATACCTGGTCAATCCTTGGGTCCCCGCCCGGAAGAACACATTTTCTCCCCGGAAATTTCACATTCCTCCCAATTCAAATTTCAAACGGTTACATCTTAATCTGATATTTCAACTAAATTTAAATGAGTACCAAGATCTGAACACCAAAGCTCAAACATGAACATTCCATCGCCTGATTTTCCTTCGCTCAGATACTACACAAAAACTGAGACATGGAAGCCCATGCTCAGCCTGCAAGGGCAGGTTAACCAACAGGTGCCCGAACCACACTGAAAGTCCGCAGGTTGGGCACACAGCTTGGGGAACGCATGAGTTGGGCATCGATAGCGTCTGAGGAAATGGCGCGGCTTTGGTTACCGCAATCATCGAACAAATCGAACCAGCATTGAATTATCTCAGATTGACTTAAATGCCTTTATTCCCTAAGTTACTACGCTACACAAAGCAATAGTGCGCATTCCCCACTGCGGAAAATGTGGCACAGTGGTTCTATCTTTGCGCAGTAATGCTTCTCTCGGTTGCTGACAATGCGCTGGCAATGGGCATCCTCCTGAAATCTTCAAGCGAGCCCGTCAACAGTTAAGAGCTATGTCCCGTCAGTGTCAAGAGAAGAGGACACATGTGTGACCTGCGCTCATAAGGTACTAAACAGTGATACAGTTGGACTTCTGTCAGATGCTAGGTTACGCATAGAACATTACAGCTCAAACATGTAAGCCCGAACTACCCCAACCACTTAATATCTTTCGTAAATGCAAATCATTATGATGTGTTACCTACATTCACTTTTCATACAGCTGGGCGTATTAATTTTCATTAACTACGACTCACTAAAAGTCCAGTGACGAGATATAGCTCAGTCAGTCGAGACTCAACGAGACACAAAGGTGGCGACCTGGGGGCAAGACGCTATCGGGTGAAGGGTGAAGACGCAAGGGTGAAGAGCCTGAAATGCAATGGCCATATTCGCAACGTCATTTTGAAACGTTTTGAAAGTTGTTACTAACGGGGTGGTTTCTTTTAGACACTGTCATTGCTTATCCATTAAAAAATGACTAGGAGCGTGACTTTTGAAGCGTTATACCTATCATGCTCGGGTTTCCCAGGTTGAAATCCATACTTTCGAAGAGGAAATGCGGGAAAATTTTTTCAGACACAATTATGCGTAAACGTAGCGATAAATACACAATTTACAGATAATCTGTCAAACACGTCATCGGTGCCCCAATATAGACACGTTGGAGTCAGTTCATAAAATGGACGAAATGTGTCCGCAGTCTCGGGCTCATGCACGTACCATTTACGCATGCAAAACGGCGTATAGCTGCAAGGGTTTAACAAACCTCACCCACGAGGTGCTCCACCGTTTTGTTTAACTCCGATTTTTTTTTACAGCTGGTGCCTAAGTCTCCAAAAAGACGATTGCTATATCATTATCCGTCGCCGCAATGTCACCCTGTGGTTTGATACGCAATCATTCTATGGGTAAGTAGATGAAATCTGGTAGTGTCATCACCATGACGCAACGACTTTGACAAATACCAAATATTAATAATCACAAGATATTTCGTCGTTTGGCTTTCAAATAATGCCATCACGACTGCCAAACCCAGTGTCGGGCTATGTTTGCATTGTTGCTATTGTTGATTCCACTGGAAATATCATCTAAAATCTTTGAACTCAAACCTCCCTGTGACCAGGTAACAGACACAAAATATGAATACAGTTTGACAGCCCTCCGTATAAAGAAAAAGACAGAGAGAGAGAGAGAGAGAGAGAGAGAGAGAGAGAGAGAGAGAGAGAGAGAGAGAGAGAGAGAGAGAGAGAGAGAGAGAGAGAGAGAGAGAGAGAGAGAGAGAGAGAGAGAGAGAGAGAGAGGGGGAGAGAGAGCAATCCAGCACTGAACGTTATGAATATTACGCATTCGTAAACAAGTGTTCTTTTTCAAACAACGCATGTTTCCTTACTGCTAATGCAGGTGAAGGGAACTGTTGTGGTACTGCTGACGATTGAAAAAGAAGTTGTGGTGCGGCGAAGGAAAAACTTCACGAATCGTCCGGCCACATCTGAAAAATACACAGGCGTCACGTAAACAGAACGTGGTAGGTGTCAGATGGGTGCATGTCACATGGATTAACAAATCTCGTTTGGAAGTTAGCGGTGACTGTGACTAGCGACTGAATTATAATCATCATAAACATCAACAACGCTCAACTGTGAGCAACGGCACAGAACTATGAAATATTGTGACAAGATCCCTGGTAAACCAGTGCACCATGCGAATCGGTGAACATTCAATAATGGGCGATACCAGTGCCAGGGGAAACATTCATGATTAGAAATAATTGCGGTGTTGAGAACATAGTAAGAAATAATTAATAGACTTATACAAGCTAATCTTAAGGAAATCGGAGGAGAACATTACTGCATGACCTGCCAATCGCCCGCACAAACTCGGTGAAATCAGTCATTGCCTTTCGGTAGCAAGAGATTAGGAACTGTGCATCGCATTCGCCTGTGTCTGGACCTTTGGGTGCACTTCGTATTTGGCTCGCATTGGTCTGAGCATGATCTATGTCTCACGGAAAATGTGCCTAGCATTCTTTATGTTTGGGGGCCAGCGCGAACCATCTGATGTTGCTCTGATCAGCCGTTTTAAGTATCGACCTCCGGCAGGAGTGCTGACTGCTCACCTTGTTCCCGTCCATATGTTACGTGCTGGCTATCGCTGTCATGACCTGCATGAAGCACTGGATGTTTGTGCCAGGGACGGCGTGAACTGTAGGCTGTACTGTAGGCTTTTATCATTGGCACACTGGAATCTGTCCCGTTGAACATGCCAGCGCATGACCAGACAGACTCACCGGTTTCATCCTGAAGATCAGCTCCATTTCCTTCTAACAACACTTTTCCACCGTGATCAGTGGAGAGGGTCAGTTGGAACGCTGCTGATGCCAGTACTGCTACCAGCAGCGTGCAGCGCTGCGGCAAAAACAAACCATCCAGCACAGCATGAGCGCCATGTCAGCTTTCTGTTCGAGCATATCTTGGTTGACGATAGTCTTAGGCTTGCTGACGGGTCAACGTTGAGGAATCAGACATCACAGCGCTTTAGTCCTTATGGCAAATATTCCCGCCAGTCACGACGAGCATTGCCACCGAATGGCAATAATCATTGGTGCATTATTATCGACACGCGTACCCTCCACGCCTAGAAGTGGCACAGCCCTGCACCAGAGTTCGAGATGCAGCTTTTTCACATGCATGCAATGAACGCAGTCCCATCTTGGGTGTACAAATACAACGTGTCGACATCCGATCACACAATCTAACTGCATCGGTAGGTCCTTAACAGCTGTATGTCACTGTAGATACCAGCGTGGCTACCAGGTAAATCTCCATAACCGAACTGCTGGCAAGAGGGTACTGCACCGATTCTTCTGTGGCCGACAATTTTTGATTCGTTTGCTCCGCACTGACTTTTTATCATGGATACGAAGCAGCATGACTTGGCAAATCTGTGTCTTTTAGATAAGACACCTCGCGTCGGTATTCCGCATAAACTCATGTCAGGAACTCCTGTGTTAAATGAAGTCAGACAGAGCCGCGCCCAATCACCACGCCATGTAGGCGGCCGACAAGCGCCAATACACAGCGTGTGCTACGTACCAGAGACCAGCCCATGGTCGCTCGGGAGGACTGCGACCGAACTGCCGACGTCCAACTGCACTGCAGCTGTGTAATGACCCACGTCGCAAACTCGGCGCAGGTTCGCCTGCCCTGAGGGGGGGTAGCGGTCGCTGCAAAGATTGGCGCGCGGGTGCCCCAGGGGGAGCCACCGCTTGGCGCGTGCAGTCATAGCTCAGGTTGCCTCGCGCACGGTGTTGCTGGCGCCAGCTCCCAGAAGATAAACATGCACACGCGAGCTACTGTGTTATTTAATTTGTTGAAATGGAGTGTTCCACATGTGCCTGGGGTGTTGAATTGCAACCTACAACCGTCTGGTTTTTTAGCTAAATGCCCGCGAATGTGTGCAGACGATTTCGCACGGACTGTTTCAAAGTCATACTGGCATGCACGATGTCGTAGTAACGTCATTCGAAGCCTGTCTCTGCATAGGCCATGCGCTGCTGAAAGCCTGCAAAAAATACAATCGACCCGTTCAGATCTTGCGCCCCTGAGCACGATTTTTAAGTATTGTGGACGTCAGTTGGAAGGAGCAATATCTTGGCCTTCCATCAGAATGCACTTAAAAACAGACTTCTCCCCAGACGTGACCCCCTTTTTCAGAGTTCAGGGCAGCGACAAAGTTTCGCAAAGTGCGTTTGGGGGTTGGGGCGTTAAGTCCTGGTAACTGGCTCTACTTACCTCCAAAATACGTCAACAATGAAGTCACTCCAGATTTGACCCACGTTCGTCTCAAAATTTGGGGGCTGGATGGAGCCCAAGCTGAAAGGAGGGGTGGGGGGGGGGGACTGGCCACCACACCTGAACAGGAAACAGGTAAAGAAAGCGTCTACACTCTCCCGAGCGTGAGAGACTCAATTTGCCTTCATGAAAGGAGACTGAGCCTGCCCTTCATAAAAGGAGACTGAAACGTTCACATTGTGCAAATTTCTATAAATACATGTGCAACATATTATTTCACGGAACGTCGATTGCGATGCAATTGCGCGCATCCCAATAATGAAAAAGAAAATGTGTTTCGGTGGCCTAGACCCTTTCAGCACCGCGGTGTGGGGAGACAGTGTGTGGGCGATTTGTGGGCACACTATGCTGCCTCCCAATTTGTTGGTGCATCATGTTAATTCTGTTTTCAATATGCTCCTCGTCCTTAAAGCGTTGTTAGTTCAGCGTAAAAGAATTTGGCCGCTCACTGAAAGCGTTAACTTATCACATGCACCCTACGTGATGCTACGTAACCGTCAGGCTAAGTTTTTGTATCCGCTTTGCAGAGGTGAAAAAGTGCCTTTTCTGACACTGACGAATTTTGAAACTGTCCAAATGGTCACATTAAGCCAAGCCTTTTAAAGAACCAATACGGTATCATTCTAAATGAGACACAACACAAAAAACAAGACAAATGAAATGCAACGCGGCATAATCACCAAACATTTTCATTTCGGGAGCTCATTTTCACTGAAGTATCATTCGCTGGCCATCAAACACTGAATGATGGTTCATACTTAGCTAATAAAGTCATCGGATGAATGCATACGTCACCAGCCTAGAGGCGTGTAATTTTTTGTTCAGTTGAGGGGGGGGGGGGTCCTCCCAACCAAGAGGAATGTAGATTCTGTTTTATTTATCATTTGCCATTCGTTGTTTTTCATCAGTCAGAACCGTTTATGGTTCAGCCCTCAAACAAACTAAGTTTAAGAAACTACCCCTGCTCCCAACTGTCAAAAAGTGCGTCAGTGGAGGAAAACTCTTAAGTGCCCTTCGGAGCCAGGCTCAGCCATTTTTCTTCCTGCATCCCCCTCTCCCCTAATGCTAAGCATTTTTGCAATGCTGCATCCCCGTACCCCTACATTTACCGATAGCATGGTTCTATAAGCACTTGAAAACAATATTACTCCCTTTTGACGTCATTGTACAATTAGGCGTTGGGGACCTTCGTCACCTCCGCACAAACATCGCCGGCGCGGAACTCACATTTCCTAACATGATCCCAATTAAGTTGTGCAAACCCACGCAGTATTGATATCAACAGATGCAAACGAAAAAAAAGTCTGGGATGCGACAAGCTGCATGAGAAGCCTACACTAGCGTTGTGTGGCATCTTACCTCGAGGCCGCCGTTCCTCCCAGCGGCAGAAATCCCAGGCTGAATCATTGACATGCGTCGCTTCAACGCTGTCCGTTATCCTCTGAGGCTACATTTCGGATATCCACAAACAACAAGCCTCTTAGATTGGCAGTGTCTTTTAACGCTGTTACCGCGGACGCCCCCGTGGCAGAAAGAGGGCCTTAGAAAAGCTGCACAGCGCCTTAAAAAACCTGAGTAACTGGCTAAATTTGTCAAGCCAGTCAGCTTCTCAAGACATGAACACGACCAACGGCAGCACACAGCCTTGCATTGAACCCAATTCAATACCGCGTGGCCAGCATTCGAGCCCATGTGTCTCAAAGGGCACGACGCTTTAAACGCTGCATACCAAACTGATCACGTTCGGCGCAAGATGCTCTGGTCAGTCACGATTCGTATGACTATTAATATGCCTAACTATTTGGTATTGTATGTTGTTTAATATGTGGAGTGAATCTCAGCTGAAAAAAATTGTGAAAAATGCTGAATTCTGGGGCATTGAAAAAGCGCTGTGCCACTACTTATCTGTGATATCACCTCTGATATAGTGTGTTGTTCAGTGCATTAGCGAGGAACATTATTAACATGATAACACAGTAGAATTGGCCTTATTCCTCGGAGAGAACCAAGAGAATGGAGATGTAGTTGGGTTGATATTTCGGCAGCATGCCTTTATCAAAACAATAGGAGAAGATTGAATACATACATCATATATTCGGCAACATGCCTGCGGCAACATGTATTCGGCAACATGTTGCCGAATATACATGCTTTCGGCCTATTTATTCGGCAACATGCCTCCATCGAAACAATAGCTCCTGCTATTGTTTCGATGAAGTCATGTTGCCGAAATATCAACCCAACTCTATCTCGAATCTCCTGGTTTTCTCCAAGGAATAAGGCTAATACTGCTGGCGTATCTGATATAGTACAGTTGGCAGAATATTTCTGTCACCTGCTGAAAACTATCCTGATTAGAGCTACTATGCTTGACAACATCTTGTGGCTCAACTTGCTCATACAGAAAAATATCAACGTTTCGACATGTGCTCTAAACATGCCTAAGCTGCAAGCGTTAGCAAGTACAGACCAAAACTAAACTCTAAGTTGCGTCTAGCTGGCGTGGTCTGTTGTAATACGGTCTGGCCTATTTTGTCATTTGTTTCCATTTTCACAATTTTGTCACCAACTGGCTTGCAGGAGAGTCTGTTTTTGTTACTGATCATATTCAGTAAGTTGGAAGCTTTTTTAGCCCTTGGCTCCAGGTGGTCATGCGATTTGTTCCAAGTTTTGTCGGTAACAAAAAACTTTCTGACCCCTACTATCACATGTCAATGTTATTGGCATCGGTACAAGTAAGTAGGACATCCGGTTCGTAGATTTAAATGCTAATTGAGAGATTTGGGTTGTCACGAATTCATGCGACCAGTTTTTCCGATGCACGGACTGGATAAGATCGGGTTTAGACATTTGAAGCCAGCAAGCAGACTGGTGGGCGTATTGGATGTAGACCAGCAAGACCGAGATGGACCGGATCACAAAGAGCTTTACAGGGGTAGCGTTGCGAGTCATGCCCATATCTTACTTGAAGTAAATGTTTTGGGTGTCTCATTCACCGATCCCGGTGCATCGTCACTCTTAAAATGCGGTGTTTGTCGATGCACTCTTTCTCAAGATCATGTAAGGTAAAGTTGTTCAAAATAAGCAGGGGTGGTAAAAGTGTACTCTTTCTCGCCGACCAAATTTCTAGAGGAAAAATTATCGCTAACAGCGTAATGCGATGTCATGTGACAAAATGGCCATTAAGTTCATGCCCAGTAGCGCCATCGGCTATCAGCCTATCACCGAAAGTCTCTTTCATCACTGCAATTTTCAATATCACGCACATAAGCGTTCAATCATACACTGTCCTCCAACAAATGTCAGGATAAGTGCTGCTGCTAGGAAGGCAGGCGCACCCGCACCAGAATAATGAAATAGCTTAACCACATTAGGGATTTACCTCCTCCCTTGGGACTTGCCGGGCTCGATCTACGGCTGGATCTGCTTCATCTCCGCCGCAAAATAACAACGAAGGACCTCGATAGCCAGGGTAGCATAATACCTCGCAGATTTCGAACCAGTGGCAGGCGGTACTGGGAATGACGTCAAATATAGCGGCCTCCAAGATGCCAGGCCCCCTTATGAAAATAAGGTGTGCGCTTCGAGCTCCATCTCAAACGTCATCAAGCTATCTGCTAAACGTTAGGCATGCTCTTAGCCTGGCGCGACATAATTTGACTGATGGACACCCCTCACCGTGCGGAACAAGTAAATTGTATCGAAATATGTCAATAACTTCACATCGGGCGGCCACCTCTTTCTGAACAAGTTATTTGCCCTGCCGTGGGGCGGGGGGGGGGGGGGGCATGCGATCCCCGTACGGTTTTCCGAGGATACCAATGCGGCATATTGTGCAGTCTCGCTCACATCTTTGGTAGCCTCTGGGGCACGCCTTGCACGCGTGTTGACATAAAAAAGTGCCCCTAGAAATTATTGTTTCCGAGAAGCGAGTTTTTACGAGCACTGCAAGACGATTCAAGACCGGCAGGTGCAGCGGGCGGCAAGCGACGGTTCTGCGGACCGCGCACGGAGGGTTGGCACTGTTGCATGAACGAAACCCTACGTGATAAATAAAGGCTCAAAACATATAAAATTACATGCCATTGTACTATCTGAAAATGTCATTGTACTCTTAACAAAACAAGATACATGCCTCTTTATGTTCCATGTCCCTAAACTGTATGGTTTCGTATATATTAACATGCAAAGCTGATGTTTGGTTATCAGGAAAATTTGACTTTCGGCTCGGTCTAATGGGGTCAACTAACAACAGGAGACTTCTTACCAGTCACGAGATCTGGGTAAAGACAGCTCACTATTCATTTGTTTGTT